GGGGCTTAGACCTGCAGCCTACGGACTGGAAGTGGGAGGCAGGGAAAGTGCCAAATTTGGATTTGGTGCTTTCCCCACCTCACCCTTCTGGTCCGTAGGTTGATTCTCCGGCCGCAAGTCGAAGTGAAACTTTGCAGGTGGAGAAGTCTGTAAGTCGAAAAGTTCGTAAGTGGAGCCGAACGTAAGTCGAGACTCCACTGTAGGTTCTGCAGGCAGAGAGGGCGCCTAGGTGTGATCATGTCAACCGCATGGGCCATCTCCTTGTACCACAAAGCGACCTGGGCTTCGACAGGAGAGCCGACCATATCAACTGGAAACTCCCCAACAGCATTCAGGAATCCTTCAGGATCCATACGTCTCCTGGAGTGGATCATTTTAATTGATCCTGCAGAGTGTAGTAGCAGTAGAGAGTTCAGACTTTACCAGGAAATGGGCTGACCATGACAATGGGATCAAAGATAAACCCACCACATCCAGACCACCATCCCCCCTCCAGCTGAGAAAACTAGGTCAAGTGTATGGCCCTTCTCATGAGTCCGGCCAATGACATGTTCAGACAGCCCCTGTGGATCATTTTAATTGATCCTGCAGAGTGTAGTAGCAGTAGAGAGTTCAGACTTTACCAGGAAATGGGCTGACCATGACAATGGGATCAAAGATAAACCCACCACATCCAGACCACCATCCCCCCTCCAGCTGAGAAAACTAGGTCAAGTGTATGGCCCTTCTCATGAGTCCGGCCAATGACATGTTGAGACAGCCCCTTGGTTGTCATGGGGGCCATGAAATCCTGAGCTGTCACCATTAAGGTGGCCTCCATGCTGAGGTTGAAGTCCCCTAGTACCAAAAGTCTGGGGGCCCTCACCACCAGGTCTGAGATCACCTCTGTCAGCTCAGGTAGGGAGACTGCTGGTAACCAGCAGGGTGGGTGGTATACCAACAGAACCCCCGGTCTGTCTCTTGAGCCCTACACAAAATATAGGCCCTCAAGACCATTTCCCAAGGGGACAGGGATTCTGGAAAAGTGGAATGAATCCTTGTAGACTATTATCACGCCTCCTCCCCAAACCTCCGGGTGACCCTGGTGTTGGGCCAAGTACCCAGGGGGACACAACTGAGATAGAGGAACTCCTCCTCTCATAATGTTATTCTCCTCACAAAGTTGTGTCATTAGTATCATCTGATTTGATCTACATTTAATTGTAGTCTAAGAGTTGACAAGAATTATCCCTCAGAAATAGTGGAGTAGGAACATTTTCCGAAGATGCTGTTAAATGTAAACCTGATAGACATATACGTAATTGTGTCCTTTCTGCATTATCATCATATTTTATATCACTCTTTTGACCATTTCACCTTGCATGATATCAAGAAGTACTATAAAGAAACTATACTTATAAATGGAATGTAAACAACAGAGAAAACAATCAAGATGAACCTGTGGAATGGGGAAACTGCAAATTCCATGACAGGGTTTAGGTCCTTGGTTTGAGTGACACATAAATTGGAGTGAAAAAACAAATAATTTGTCCTTTGAATCTAGCTGCTGTGTCCTACACCTCTAACCTAAGCCTTTACTGATAATCTTCCACCACCAAGTTTGCTACAAGATGCTTCAGAAAGAAAGAAAGAAAGAAAGAAAGAAAGAAAGAAAGAAAGAAAGAAAGAAAGAAAGAAAGAAAGAAAGAAAGAAAGAAAGAAAGAAAGGTAGCTTACTTGAATGGATGAAGGTGACTCGCCTTTAGCTTTTCTTGAGCTTTTACCCCCTTTTCTTTGCTGTAATAGCTGTAAAGCAATGTCAAGGGAGAATAAATAAATTTTTCATAAAATTTACTTTTTAAAACAGAATTTTAGTTGTTACTATAATTCTGGAAAAAATCTGTTGATAATCTGCACCACTGTCTTTGAAGAAACCTGTTAAGACACCTGGTGAGAGATGTGCTCAAATCCTTTGTATGAGACGTTGGTAAATGAAGAAAGTCAGTTAATCATTTAGGCAGAAGACTACGTAGCACTCCAGTTTTTATATTAACAAAACCAAGAAATATATTGCCTACTTAAAATTTACTTCAGAGCTGGTGTTGCATAGGTAGTCTGCTAGAGTGGCTTCAATTTAGCATTGCATGAGTGGACGTCCATCAGAGCTATGGGACTTGCTTTATCTTCCCTCCCTCTGCACCCTTACATAGCATGCTCCAGAAGGTTTCTTAATCCTCTGAAGGAGATCTGAAAGACGTATAAGGAGCAACATGGGGGAAAGAACAGCCCTCTCCCATTTCTGCTGATGGAAGACATTTCCCACCAGTAGACAACAACACTGGCTTTCGCCTGTGACATTGCTATAAACATAAATAAAAGCCTGCTTAAAATAAACCCAAAGTCAGGGGAAAACATGGCTGCTATCCTTATTTCCCAGCTACTTCCAATCACAAAACCAAACAATGAATACTGTAAATTGGGAAGAATTCCTCATGTCCCCATGAATGTTGGTTTTCCAGTTGGTATTGGATAGATGTGAAAAATAATTTCACATACCTCTTTTTGTTACAGTCACAGTCATCAGGTTTTCGTCTTTTTAGATGCCCTCTCACCTCTCTTAAATTTTTAATTTTATCTTGAAGAGCTTCAATCTGCAAAGCAAAAATAATATACTGCATTTAATAGTTTTATCAGTATAACAGAACTGATAGCAGAACTGATAACAGAACTGATAACAGAACTTAATATACTGATTAATATTAATATACTGGCCGAAGTTCTCTTGTGTAGCTATGAGAATGGCATACCTTTCAATGGTAAATTGCCTGAAGTTAAGAAAGCACTGCAGATATGTTATCAGTTGCATGCTCAGTCACGCATCTCAGTATGCAACACTATATTGTATGTCCACAGTGATTTCTTAAGGCAATTTGTCTCCAAAAGTGATTGCAATTGTGTTACACCAGCAACTGGGGGAAAGGATTTACAGTGGTGCCTCGCTTAACAATTACCTCATTAAACGACAAATCCGCTTGACAATGAGGTTTTTGTGATCACTTTTGTAATCGCAAAATGTTTTAATGGGAAAAATTCGCTTCCCGATGATCGGTTCCCAGCTTCGGGAACCGCTTCTTCGCATTACGACGATCAAAACAGCTGATCATTGGGTTTCAAAATGGCCGCCCGCTATGTAAAATGGCTCCCCGCTGTGCTTTAGGACAGATTTTTCACTGCACAGGCATCAGAAAATGGCGACCCTATGGAGGATCTTCGCTGGACGCTGAGGTATTTACCCCCTTGGAATGCATTGAGCAGTTTTCAATGCATTTCAATGGGCTTTTTTATTTCGCTTGACGAGGATTTTGATCTACAGCGATTTCGCTGGAACGGATTATCCTCGTCAAGCGAGGCACTACTGTACACCATTTCTTAAACCACCTCAGAAGAGCCATTAAGAAGCTCCATCATCGTTTCATTCTGGACGGCTGGTCTCATTTAGCCCGGGCTATCAATACAGGTAACAACAAAAAAATTCTGAGAGGGGTTTCGGATTCTTCTGTCTCCAATAAGAATTCACAGGGCCTTCCCTATATACTAGCTGGGACATGGGAATAGCACTTTTTGGCCATTTTTTATGATAGCTGCAAGTCCACAGTGCCAACCGATCTGCTCCTACCCAGAGATTTTCTGGAATGTTCCTCTGTCACAACTAACAAAATTAAAAAGCTCATACGACACCTTAGAACTGGAAAGGCACCAGATCCTGATGCCCTTCTGCTGGAACGGCTAAAGGCTGACCCTGATTGGTGGGCGCCTGCTTTCGCTGCTCTATTTACATTTGTTAATCGATCTGGTATCATGCCCAAAGCATAAATACAGGCCATAGTGATTCTTATCCATAAGAAGGGTGATAAGAAATCCTCTGCAAATTATAGACCCATAAGCCTTCTTGCCCTCAGTGGAAAGTTGTACGCCAGCTACTTACTCCAAAAATTAGAAGACTGGCTTCTAGACCAAGAGATCCTGGGCCCTGAACAAGCAGGTTTCAAGGAAAGTCTACACTACACCATTGTTTGATCCTATCACATCTGATCTCCAAATACGCTTTGCAGCGTAACACTCCTATGTTTGCAGCTTTCTTAGACCTAAAAGGGGCCATTGATTCTGTAGACAGAGATATCTAATGGCTAAAGCTCTTTAGGCTGGGCATTGGTAGGAGGTTCCTCTTTATGATTCAAAAACTCCATGTAGGCTCTACCAGTCACATAAAAATGTTGACGCAGAGGCACTTTCTAATCAGATTTTCTCAGACAGAGGAGTGAAGCAAGGCTGTGTTCTGGCACCAACTTTATTCAACTTATTTATTAATGATCTTGCCCCATTCCTACATAGTATCAATGGCCACAGCCTCAAACTAGGCCCCATACAGATTCCAATTATATGCGGATGACATGGTTCCCCTGCCCCGCACAAAGGTCAGCCTAAAGCGGCTAGTTAGTGGGTGCCATGACTACTTGACATGCAACAAGCTCCAACTAAATTTTGAAAAAATCTAAAAATATAATCTTTGGCAAAACATGGAAACCTTTTTCTTGGTCTTTCAATGGCAACTCTATCCAACAGTTCAGAGAGTTGGGTGTCTTTTTTCATTATAGACACACCTGGTCAACTCACTGGCAGACAGCAATTATCTTATGCTTTCATTGTACTTGGGGCCACTCGTACATCCCCACTGCACTGCAGATTTTTAATTCCAAATCAGCAGCACAGCTTCTTTATGGTGTCCCCATCTGGATGTCTGCATTCCACAGCTCTGTGGAAAGGGTCCAATCAACTTTTCTGTATACAATCTTTGGCTTGCCCCACTGTGTCTCCTATGCAACCCTATGCCTTGAAGGCGGCCAACACAGGATTGAGACCCTGGCTTGGCTCAGATTCTTTAAATACTGGGTCAGAATCTGTTCCCTCTCAACCTAGGAAATCCTATTCCATGTGCTGCTTTCTGATAGTATATTTCCAAAAGATTTGACCCTATTCCTCAAGAAAATCAAGACCCTGGGGTTGTCACCAGATCTGGGTTCAATACCCCTATCCCAGGTATTCTGTGCAATCCAAAACAGAGTTCTGGATATTGAGGGACAAACCTTGCAAAGTGCTGCACAAAGGATCTGTTCCCTGCTATATTTTCAGTTGCCCCTCTCCCATGGCAGAAGACCGAATTACCTCTATCTCTTAGAGCATCCCCAAGACCGATGGGCTTTCACCCTTGCTAGGTGTAATACTGTACCTTCTAACATAGCACAGGACAGATATATGGGTTTACCCACATAACTGAGAGTCTGCCCTTATGGTCAAGGAGTGGTTGAATCCTTGCAGCATATGTTGTTTTACTGTATCTTGTATAAAGATATTCACTTGTCTTATCTGAGCACTTTCCTTCCATTCTGGATGGGATGACCCGAGAAATATTCAACACCTTCTAGGTGGCACTGTTAAGGAACTTACCCTGATAACAGCTGGATACATCTACTCCATCATGCAGAGGCAATGCATCATACTGTCGCAGAATGCCGAGCCCTAACAGCGTTATTTGGATGTTCCCTGCCACATGTTAGCTGCTGAATGTTTTATCTGCATCTTAGCTTGCTTTAATTTTATACAGTATGCCAATAAAGGTTTCTGTCAGTTTGCAATTTCTTAAATATTAATTAATAATTAATGGAATATTACTGATGCCCATGCTATTATTAAATTACCACCCTTTCAAAGCTTTTTGTGCTTTACAATACATTCTGTACTCTGCAACTGTGATCACATGTCAAGATAATCACTTCAATAATAGTAAACTGACACCAAGAAATACTGATTTGTTCAAGGTCACACACAGTGGTTAGTGTTCTGAGCCTCAGACTCATGGATGTTTCACTCTCCTCTCTTCTTCCATAGTGGCTATGGAGAGATCAGAAATTCTATGCCATGGCATAGTATTTCCAAACTAAATGATATACAGTATTTCATTGTAACTATTGCTATGTGCAAATCTAGTAGTAGTTAACTTTAGCTATGATATAGGGGAACAAATCAGAAACTATGATTGCAAGTTAGCTGTTCAGGTCCCCATATAAGAAGAATACAGTGTGTTTACATTAAAACAAAAATGCAAGTCATCACCTGAAAACTGGTGTCATAGCACTGGAGGAGAATGGGTGGCAATGGAGAAAGAGCATAAATCAATTAAGATTCATCCATGTAATCTAAACATAGACAGTTTAAAAATGGGTAAGCAGAAATTTGATCCCAGATCTTTCTTGTCCTCTTGCAACTCCTGACTCATCCATACATTTTCATAGATTATAGTGTCACAAGTTGCCAATACAGATCCTTAATTAAGGGAAAGGTCTTCTAACCTCTTTGTCAATGTAGGCTTTGTGGTCTTTCCAGGCTTTGGATGACTGGTATAATTCCCGCTCACAGTGAATGGAATCATTTGGAAGAATAAAACATCTGTAAGAGGGTGAAATAATTATATGTTTGAAATATCCTGGTCAATTACAGCCCAAGTGCTACACATCTGCCTAACAATGAATTTTTTTTTTTAAAAAATAATAACATAAACCACTACAGTCCCATCATCCCACAACAGCTTGTTTGGGGAAAGTACTTTAAAATCTTTTCTAGAGGGGAAGCATAGCCAAAAGATTTATATAAGACACTGTAGTTGAAAATTGTCAAGAGATTCAGTGGGAGTTCAGAAAGGCTCAACAGCATAGGAATACAGGCATTCCAAGAGTAGAAGGTCCTTGCTTTCAAATATTAATTCACCCAGTCACTGTTTGACTATGTGAAGCCCTCCTAACATTCCTTAAAGTGCATCACCTCTACTTCTTGTACACCCATTCCTTATTCATTACAACTTTTCACAGTTTTGCTTCTGTCATCTGTCCACTTGTATATTCCAATATATTTCTGTATGTCCGTACAGGTATTTTGCTTCTAGCCCAGTCACTTACTAGAATATCCCCTTAAGTAATTCCATCCATTGCTGTTCCTCCTTACTAAAACTCTGTCCTAAAATCCTACATTCGTTCTTCTTGAGTCCTGCTGACACATTACACTTGAATAGAATAGGGTACAGGGCCAGGGCCATTGCCTCTCTTCAGTGTCCTAGTCTTTGTTCTCACTCTCTGTTCACAGTGTTCTTGCATTGAGCAGGAAAATCTCAAGAGAGAGATCTAAGAAGGTTGAATGAGCAGATGAGAAACCTACATGATCAGAAAAACTGCTGTATTAGAGTACTCACTCACATACAAGCAGAACCCCTTTCAGAAGGGCAGGAGCAGGAAAGGAAAGTCTGCACATGCTAAATGTCTGCACTGAGTTTTTGACCTCATTCAGACCCCGGCTTTAAAGACATATAACACCCCTGACTGCATCACCAACTGAAAAAAAATGTTTTAGTACAAGTAAGTCACATAGTGGTTAGTGTTTTGAATGTATTTGCTCCAAACACATTCCCTCGTTTCTCGTAACATTCATTTCTTCTCTCCCCCATCTCTTTTGTTTTCCTTGACAGTTCTTCTTAAAGTTGGATGCCGAGCTGCACGGGACAGCAGCCTATCTCTGTGCTACATTGGGCAATGATGGTGCAATTAAAAAGCTCAATAAATATCTAGAGGCAAAGCGTTCTTACTTATGCGTCACTGGGACAGAGTCTGACTGCCCAGCTGTGCGGGTTCCATCAGCTAGCATGGCTTTACCACCACCATCTCCATCTTCTGAATGCTGGGGCTGCTCCTCATCTTCACCGTAGTTTCCATGTCGCTTAACAATGTTCCTGGGTTGAAGGATGTGGAGTTCCTCTTCCTCCTCCAGATTGATGTCATATATTTTTCCTTCAAACTCCACAGACAGGGAACGGGTCTGCCGGGTGTGAACGAAGCGTGGTTTGTATTCTACATTATTAAAAGAAACACAAATGCATTATGAGGTAAACACCAAACAATGCACTGTATCAAAAGACTAGGAAAATGGAACGAAGATTAATGTGAGGGGAGGTGGCAGGAAATTCACTCCTTAGCTCAGTTGGTACAAACACACATGATCATATCTCATGGATCATTAAGGATACAATTTTTCTCATCCTTGAGAAAAAACACAGAGAATTCTATGAAAAGAAAACACATTTTCTTTTTTGGGTCATCAACCATGTTTGCAAAAAATTTTTAAAAAAATAAAATTAAAAAAACTGAGGGGGGCAGTATTGTAAGAAAACCTTGCATTTTGTACATGATCTTCTACACAAATTACATAGTTGTCTACACACAGTGCTTCTATGTATTTTTCACAAAGAGCGCTGAAGTACCCAAAAAAGAAAGAAAGAAAGAAAGAAAGAAAGAAAGAAAGAAAGAAAGAAAGAAATAAAGAAAGAAAGAAAGAAAGAAAGAAAGAAAGAAAGAAAGAAAGAAGCACAAATATTCTTGTAAACTGACCCGATGGGGATGAAACTTTTTTTAAAAAAATGATTTTCACCTGCAAGAACGAAATAAGCAAAGATTTATATCACTTCTGATCATTTTATTTATTTAGGAGAAAGCTTTAAAGATTAATAATATATATTTTATGTATCTGGCTTTTCAGAGCACAAGCACGCTATTCAGTGGCTTCTAAAATGTTCTCAGGTACTTAAAAACTTGCCCAATTGGAGAGGACTGTGCTCTGGCCCGCTCTGAACAGGTAGTGGAATGACGAGGCAAAATCCACCAAATAAAAAATAATAGAGGCACATTGAAAAAAGTGACCCCCTTCCCATGATCTGAAATTGTAGTCTGTTTTATGATCACATTCTACTCCCCATCTCAGTGCTAAAATATGGGCTATGTTTAATTCAGAACATGGAACAACAACACCCCTTTTGCTTTCGTTAATTTAGAGATATCCTGGAGGGGATCCTTGCTGAAAATGGAGTATATGGGGGAGAGGAGGCTTCTCTCTTTCCTTTTCCATGTGACTGGAGTAACACCTTGGTAGCTAAACCACTTAGGAAGAATGTTCTCCTTAGTTCCATTTATTTAACAAAAGTTTTAAAGACAGAGATGGCGCCACATGCTACATATTAGCTTGGCCACATGTAGTTTGATCTCCAATCTCTGGAAAATGAATTTTCAAGGGAAAAGTAGTTACCTATGGGGTAGGTGTGGTACCTGTTATAGATAGGCTGCTTTATATCTTTGTCAGTGGCACAGTATTAAATCAAAACTGTGCATTTTACAGACAAGTTTATGGTCCAATTACCTTAAGTAAGAGCCAGTCCTGTGATGTTCTGATAAATAATGAAGACTTGATTTTATCATTCCGTCCTGCTTCCTAGGATTTCCCCATCAAGTGTGGGTATGTTAGAAAACACTCTTCACTTGGTTAGAAATCACATACTTGCCAAGTGGTTCCAGAAATAGCCCATACACTAAATTGGTGCTGGTAAACTGTAGTCTGTTCTCACTTGGTCAGTCTTTCTCTCTTGTACAGTATGCACATTGCACTCAGTTTGATAACCTTAACAGTCCATTGGAGGGCACTGCATAAGCATGCTATGAAGACTAGCTAAACACCAATTGCACGTTCACAAAAATGCAGCTGCCTAAAAGTGCAACAGGGCCAAAAAGTTTTCCTGTATATAATCAGAGAACTTAAAAATGTATTTAGTAGGGGGTGGAGAGGGTGCCCAATAATTTGGATGAAGATATTGTTACACCCCTTGTTGATCTAAACTATAAGCTATTTCTACAGGTTTTATATGTATCAGGAAATGGTCTGTGCAAGAACTAGTAGGTATAAACACAACTATTCGCCCTATCAGAATTTTCTTAAGCCAAATGAAGCCATTAAATACAAAAGTCCAGATGGGAAATAGTTATTTAGTAGGAAGAGTACATGTAGTAGATAATAGTGTATCATTTACTAGATCGATTACTCGTAGCTTTTAAAAAGCAATCAAAGCAGGTTTCTGTGTTCTATGTCTCCTTCATATACAAGTGCTTGAATCATATGTTAGCCTGACTGAGCTAGAAGTTATTCTTTAGGACATAAGGAACTTCATGGCCCTTAGCAGAGACAGTTGCTGACTTTCAGGCAACCACACAGTTCAGGTTTTGTTCAAAGCACCATTCTTTTGTGCAAAAACGCTTCCACATTATTTTTGTAAAAAATGCGCAGAAACTCTAGTAATCTCACACAATGGGAAAACAATGTTTAAAAATTTTCATTCTCACCTGTGAAAATAAAATAAGCAAAGCTTGTGTCCCTATTCCTCAGCAGGGGATTACCTCCCTAGTCCACTGCTAACTGCTTTGGTCATGAAGACAAAAGTCTAGAAATGTTGTTAACAAGCCTGATGTGGAAGCTGGACAAGAGCCTTCAGCTAGAAAAGAGTTCTGAGATGCTTCTCCTAGGCTAGAGAAGAAAGCTTCTCTCTGATTCTTCTCTTGGATTGCAACCTCACTTCCACCACTGCCATCTCCCTAGCATGCTTGCCAATATTTCCTGAGCTCCTGCTGGCTTGCTTTCACTCCTACAGTACATTGCATTTAGAACACACTGGCTCAAGCCTTTATCATTCTGCTGGCACCAAAAGAGGTCTGTGAGCCGTAAGTACAGTTCAATTCATTTGCTAGATCAAATGATCACACAGTAATTAGCATAATGCAATTTTTAAAATGTTCTCTACAAGGATTGTGTAGAACTGTGTAGAAATTCAGTGGCTAATCTTCTAGCAGATTAAAGTCTCTGACCTTTCTGATAGCCTCCAATCTACCACCACCTACTTTGTACACTGGGGTTTCTCATAAAGCCTCTTTGATTTTTTCTTTGGGTCCGACTGCTCTGATAATCAGCCTCTCTGCAGTCACACTCATGTTCTTTGCTGCCATATCCCTGGGACTGTAAGCTTCGTGCTCTCTTTCGGATAGTGAGAATGTCACTGGGTCCTTTACATTTGTGAATACGAAGTTTGCCAGATGCGTCTTCAATGCACTGCCATTTCTGCAAGAAGAAAAAGACAAACAGGCTGCTCAAATGAATCTTCCAGTCTATCTAGCCAACCTTCCCCAACTTGTGGTCCTTCCAAAGTTCTGAACTACAATTCTCATCAGCATTTGCAACATGACCAATGGTGAAGTTTAATGGGCATTATTGCCTATGACTAAACTGAAGGTCCCTGTGTTAGGAAGAATAATCTACTCCACACTGTTCTCTGCAGATGTCATTTGTTGCATGCCAAGTCACAGGACTCAGTATGCAACAGATAATCTCTACAGAGATATCTTATCTTATGGTAACTTGCTTCCAAAAGTTATGTGCAACTGGGATTTCAGCCAATGTTTATCAGATTGTTTTGATGACAGCTGGAAAACATACCTGCTTAGGAGACCAGCCTCAGACTTTTTAGAAGCTCTACTGAAACCAACAGAAGTTGTTTTCAGGCAACCTCTTGCTGCCATTATAACCTGAAGGTACACAGTGCAACAACTTTGCTGACGCTAATAAGCAAGTCTAGGTTTTATCAGTAATGAAATATCTTGTGCACACCATATGTATCCCTCCTTGGGTCCTACTGAAGAGGTGCAGGATATATATATACGTAATTCATAAAATGAATATGTTCAGGTATACAAGTGTAACTGACATGACTATTTAGCTACTTAGTGATATACAGTATTGATCCTTCCCTCCTTACATACATTAGTAACTTTACCAACTTCTGATTTTTCTAGAGAAGAGGGGGAAAAGTCTGAAGATTTGCTTTCTTCCTCAGATCCAACTAGACATTCAATGTTCACATTCCATTTTTTATTTCACTCCTTCAAACATAAAGTGATGTTAACAATGTGCCTCAACAATTCCCTTCAGTCTAGTGCGCAGCCTCATGTCTGGGCTCCCCTTGCCTCTACACCAGGAGTCTCAAACATGCGGCCCAGGAGCCACCTGCCGCCCGCCGGATGACAGGAGTCTCAAACATGCGGCCCAGGGGCCACCTGAGGCCTGCCGGATGACAGTTTGTGACCCCTGCCTTGCTTGCCTCCCTGAAGCGCCCACGTGCCCTCTGCTGTTAAGAGTTAAAAAAAAGGCTCACCTCGCTCGCCGGCTCTCCCCCAAGACAGCACCTCTTGCACCCTCCATCCGGAACTGCAGCCGGCAGACAGGTGGGCTGGCTGGCAGGCTGCAGTTCTGGATGGAGGGCGCAAGAGGCGCTGTCTTGGGGGAGAGTCGGTGAGCGAGGGGTGCTGCTGGCCCTTTTTCCCAAGTGCCCAAGCCGCCGCTGAGCGATGCCTGAGAGCGGAGCTCACTCCCGGCCCGTCCTCGTAGAGTGCCTCCAACAGCGCCACCAACAGCAGTTGCTGCCACCGCCTCTTCCAAGGAAGCGGCTCTCTGGCTCTCTTTCTCTCTTGGCACCCCCAGCATCAGCCTGGCCAGCGGCTGCCTCAGTTCCTGCCGGTGCTTCTTCCTCCTCCTCCTCTTCATCCTGCTTCAGCTGCCTCGGCTCTGGGGGCTGCCTGGGCTCGCCTCACAAAATTTGCTCCTCTGTTGTGGTGGGGGTAAGCCGCTGCTGCTGAGTGCACCTTTTTTGAGGGGGGCCCTTGGAGAAAGGTTGCTGGACCTCCGTGTGTGCATGTGTGTGCATGCGTGCGCGCACCTGTGGGGTGCCTACCCCATTCTGCAGGTACCAAAGGGGGCTTTTCTCCTTTGGCAAGGCAATTCTGTGAGTTTTTTTTTTAAATTATGTTGTGCCCTCCCCCCCCCCGGCTAGGCAGTCACCGGCACTCCCTCCCTTCTCTGCTTCTTCATCCTGCTGCTGCTGGTGGCAGTGAAGAAGGAGCAAGAGGGGGTCGTGGCCGGCGACGAGGGCTCGCGCACCCCTCTTCCTCCTCCTCAGAGCCCCAGCCCAGCTAAGGAAACTCCTGGGCGGCTTCCTCGGGCTCTTCCTCTGCTTGGCGGAAAATTTTATGCGGCCGAGGCTCACCCAGACTCTGCCTCCAGCGGCTCCCAGGTAAATTGAGTTTGAGACCCCTGCTCTACACAGATACTTTCAGTGGAATAACATTAAGTGCATATAAGTCAGCCTATAGTGCATTCTGCTGGATATCTCATTGGTTTAGGTATCTGGCTGCAGAACCGGAGGTGGGGAGTTTGATTCCTGACTGTGCTTCCTGTGAGTAGAGCGTACCTGTGGAGTCATGGGCAAACTTCTCCCCAAGAAAGGAATGGTAACCCACTGCTGAGTATTCTCTTCCCGGAAAACCCTGAAAAGGGTTGCAATAAGTCAGAATTGACTTGATGGCACATGGTTCTTATTATCTACACTTGCTCTTGCTCCAAAGCAACAGTTGTCCAATGAACACACACACACACACACAGGCTGAAGAAGCTGCTGAAACTCGGCAAGCAGAGTTAAAGAGAGAAGGAGAGGGGGTGGAGAGAGAGAGAGAGAGAGAGAGAGTATGTAATTGAGATTTCAAAAATAAATAATATTGTGGGCTCCAATCACTTGGCTTCCATAATACAGCCACTCATCAAGATACCTCCAGAAAATCCCTCACTCCCATTAGTTGTTCCCTTTAGCCCAAAAATGGTCAAAATGGAGGCCAGATGTTGCTGGCCTACAAATCCCATCAGCCCAACAGCATCAAGTAGACCATGAACTAAGCAACACTACTCTCCTTGGCACTGACTATGCCAGCTAAGGGAGTTGCATTACCTGGAGGACCACCCCACTCTAGTCAATCATTTAACCTCTAATTAATCATTAAGGAAGCATGTAGACCCCATGGAGCCTGAGGGGGAATACTCTAGCCCCCTCCTCTCTGCCATCATATTGAATGTACAAATGCCCAAAGAGGGAGAGGCAGCTCTATTTAGGGAGCCTCTCACGATTTCCTCATGATCTCCAAACTTTTGGAGTCAAGAGTTCTAGCTCACCAGAAGAGGCTACCTGGGTCCAGCCGTCTTTGATTCTTCAGACAATTGTGTTTACATGTTCAACGTGATGAAAGAGGGGGTGGGGACAGTATGCTCCCCTCAATGTGTGTGGGCACCACACATTTCCTTAACAACTGAATAGGGCTTAATTGAACTGCCTGGGCAAGCTGAGTGAAAGAAATACCTGACTGAGAACTTTTCAAAAGCAGGCTGTGGAGGTCTTTTTACTTCTACAGCTACCTAATATAATTAACTTAAAACATAGCCTTAAACTCCCTAAGGTAGAAAAATGATTCTTTAAAATCGGAACAAACCCCTCAACATTTACATAGGGAAGGTATTGTATTTCTTTAACCTGAAGATGCTATTGTATTTCTCTTGTGTAATCAGAAGGGGGCAGCAGAGCTCTGGTACAACTCAGGCCCCTGTAATACTCTCTTCTATTCAATACAGTGTGGCTCTGATTGAGGTGTACCTGACAACCATGGGTGGAAAAACATTTATACAAGAGGCAAACTATCACAATAGCTCTTCACTCACCAGTTCCTTATCTGTCCCTGATAACAGAATAGGCAAAACCAATCAGCATCCAAATAAAACCTGTATCTGGAAGACAGACACATCTGAAGATGCTATAGGGCAGCGATGGCAAACCTATGGCACGTGTGCCAGAGATGCATGCAGAGCCCTTTCTGCGGGCATGCAAGCCATAAGTCGCTAGATTGCTACTCCCACCCCCTCGCAGCCAAACCTGAGGAGGTGGCTGCAGCAGCGGTGCTGGCACTTCGACAGGCAGCGGGTCAGGATCCAGAGCAGCCGGCACTGGCAGCAGATCCAGAGTGGGGTCTTGAGGCACCTCCCTGCCATCTGCTGGGTTGTTTTTGTTTGCTTGTTTGTTTCAGTCTGGCCACGTGAGCCCAAAAAGGTTTGCCACCACTGCTATTTTTGTAATTAAAATACCCAATTCATTTCATCCTGTTATTTATTTATTTATTTAATTTATATCCCACCTATCTAGTCGATTAAGACCACTCTAGGCGGCTTACAACAATAATATAACAATGTGAATAAAAACAGTTTTAAATAAGGGGAAAACTTTGGACAAATGGGACAGACACTAGAAAAGGTGAGAAAGGGAAAGTCAGGAATTGGCTGAGGGGAAGGCCTGCTGAAACATCAGTGTTTTTAGTACATGAACGTCATTTACAGGGGTTTAATGGAAACAGAGATGTAGAAGTTTCTGTTCAGACAGTCTCTTACAGGAATCGGAGATAGTTTTAATAGACATTTATGCCCTCTATTTTCTTTAAACACCTGAAGAAGGGCTTTAAAAATATCTGAAAATTTGTCAGGAATTTTAATAATAAGCATCACTCTATAGCATAGCGAGACATGGATGTAGAGCACTTGTTACACCCTTCACCTGCTTGTAGGTATATACGTGGTATTGTTTACAGAGAAGTGGCGAATTGGCCTCTTCATCCTTCAGAACAGTAACCCCCAATTTACCACAGAACATCACACCTAGTGCAAATGCTGTGTACCACATGCTTTTCGCCTGCTGTGAAACTAAAACAGCCCAATGGTGGCCAGGTTATGATAGTAATGAGACTGCCTCCAATGAATGTGACAAGAGGGAAGTCAGGTGTTGTCCATGTACACATCTGTAGCAGAACTTGGAAAAGTTACTTATTTGGACTATAATTCCCAGAATCCTCCAAATTCTAGTAGCTGTAGTCCATAAACAAACGTTTTCAAGACTGAGTATATGTAGGGAAAGCTCATTCTCATGAACATTCACTAAATCCTCATGAATAGTCATTGCCTGCTCTTGGGAAAGAAGGAACAGATAATTCTGACAGCAGGCAGGCATAGGCCACAGAACCCCTTTGTTTTTTCAACACAGAATTGGGGGACTCTCTCTCTCTCTCTCTCTCTCACACACACACAGAGAGAGAGGGGGGGAGGGAGAGAGAGAGAGAGGGAGACAGACACACACAGAGAGAGAGAGAGATTTGCTACCCACAATGATGGATACTTGCACAATCCATCTTGTTTCTCCTGGA